ATATTGGGCCCCTGTGCCCTTTTTTTGTTGTTGTTGTTTGTTTTGTTCTGTTTGGTAATGAGGATTGAACTCAGGTCCTTGTGCTTGTGAAGCAGGCAGCAAAACCACTGAGCCAAATTGCTGGCCCCGCTGTACCTTTTTAAATTAGTGATGGGATTTGGTGACTGAGCAACAAGCCGGATTTTATTTACATCCAAACTAACTTGTTGCAGCACTGTTTGAATGGAAATAAAATTTGACTTTTTTCTACTCACTCAACAAAATGTACTTGTAAATGCAACACCATCTTCCCACATTTGGTTCTGGGTGGTTTACTTAAGAAGCAGTTTCTTTAACTACTTCTGTTTCACATCAGCACTTTATTATTTGTGTTTTGGGGTTCTTCCCCCAGCCAATATATTCCTTTTCTACTGCTCTTTCTGTTTTCTGCCTCTGTTTCTCAGACAAATAAAAAATGGATTTTGCTTTGTTCAGGGGAGTCTATGTCTTGGACACTTCCTTCTTGAACTCATTGTGTAGCCCAGGCGGCCCGGAGCTCACGGTGACCCTCTTGCCTCTGCCTCCCAAGTGCTGGGATTACAGGTGTGCACTACCACATGTGGCTAGAACAAATTCTGAATGAAAAAAAGCACATATTTTCCACTAGTGGTGTTTGAATGTACCAGACATAAGAAACTTACTTCCACAATTCATTCCTATGTTCTGGCAAAGAAGGCACCATATGGACAGTGTATCCCAAGGCTGGTGTCATTAAATATGGGTGTTGCAATGCTTTGAATCCAGTGGGTCTCCTCTGACACTCTGGCTGTTTGTGAGATATTGAGACTTAACGGCAGAGAGTTAATCTCACCACACTGAGAGGCGACACCTTGGGAGGTGACTCACAGTTAGACAAGGCCATAGGGTGGAACCCCATGAGTGAATCACGGTGGCTTTGTAAGAAGAGATCAGAGCACACACGCATGCACACAAGCACATTCGCAGACACATTTCCTGTTTCAGCAAGGCCATACCAGAGGCATTCAATCCTTCCACCTTGGACCAGAACCATGCGTCCAAACCTTGTTTGTTAAAACATACCCCCTCTGTGGCACTGCAAAGCAATGGAAAGTGGGCTGACAGAGGGCATAGACATTCAAGTTGGTATCCAGATACCATAATAAAGTGAGAGGCCAGATTCCAGGCTAGGAATGAAGACAGCTTGAGGAGGAATTTAAAGACTCAATCCAAAAATGAGCATTTGAAATGAATAGATACTTCTCCAATGAAGAGGTAGAAATGACAAATAAATATAGGAAAAAATGTTCAACATCACTGGTCATTTGAGAGATGCAAATTAAAACAATGCTGAGAGTTCATCTCACTGCAGAAAGAATAGCTGCTATCAAGAAATCCACCAATAACAAATGCTAGCAGGGCTGTGGGGAAGAAGGAACCCTTCTCCAGTGTTGGTAGGAGTGTAAACAGGTGCAATCACTGAGGAAATCAGTGTGGAGATCCCTCAGAAAATTAAAAGTAGAGGTTCCATTCAACCCAGCTATTCCACATCTTGGTATCTTCCTGAAAGAATTAAAAGCATCATACCATGGAGATATATGTAAATCCATGTTTATAGTGGCACAATTTGTAATAGCTAAATCTTGGAAACAGCCCAAATACCCATCAACCAACAAATGCATAAAAAAGATGTGCTTTTTTATACAATGGAGTGCTACTCTGCCATAAAGAAGGATAAGCTTGAGACATTTCTAGCTATATAGATGCACCTTGAGAACACAGTCTTAAGTGAGACAAATTGGACACATGTGTTTAAATACCTCATTGTTTCTCTGGTGTGAGCAATTGAAAGTGGAAATGAGGACTAAAATGTATAACAGATATTGAAAAATGGGAAGAAAATGTTCAAATAAGAAAAAGGGAGGGGGAAGGGGGAAAGGAAAGAAGGGACAAGGAAAAAAGAATAGGATGAAAAAACAGAAACAAAACTTTTGTAAGGAAGGAAGGAAGAGGGGTTAAAGGGAGGGGAGAGGAATGGGGAAAAAAAGAAACAAGATATATCACAAGCAGGCACAAATTCCCTATGATGAATGTTATTATGTATATCTAAAATGTACCAATAAAAACAAAACACAAACTGACAGCTGAGCCCTAGGCCAGCAACAACTCCAGCACTTTCTTGGTCTCCTGGATACCCGAGGGCCAGATACTGTTTCTTGAGTCTGGTTGCTCCTGAGTAACTCTAATGGAAATGTACTTTTTAAAAAAATCCAAATAACAATATGGTCATTATACAATGGCTTTTGCTATGTTATAAAAGTTTTCCAAGCTATTAAGAATACTCACTGTTTATTGCACCAGACCCAATAATTGGCTTAATTATTTGAATAGTATAAAGTATTAGTCAATACTGGGGTGTTTACTAAATCTTATGAAAATGAGGCTTTAAGCAAAAACATTCTCACAACAACTGTGTAAATTGAAGACAGGTGCCTGATAAACTATTAAGTGAAAAGCTAAGCTTCAGAACATCTTCAGGAGGGTCTCCATTTGTTGTCTGTGTTTCTTTGTATAAAGAAATAAACAAAGGCTGTGTATCAAGGAACATCAGAGGTTGGGTGTGCACACCTGTAATCTCAGCACTTGGGAGGCTGAGGCAGGAGGATCACCATTAATTTGAGGCCAGACTGGGCTACATAGGAGACCTTGTCTCAAAAAAATGGGGGTGGTGTGGGTGGGACATGGACAACAAGGGCTGGGCAAAAGCATCACAGTGTACTCATTGTCCCAAAATGCTGGAGTGGCAGTTTTTTTTTTAAATTTCAGTGAAATGCATGTAGCATAAAATGCACCCTCACAAACATTTTAAAGCATACAGTTGGACAATTACACCCTTGGGCAACTGATCTGCAGGACTGTTTCATCTTAGGGAAATGTAATCGTCAGAAAAGCAAACCAAAATCCTGGTCCAGATGCTTCTAATTTTAAAAATTAAATACACAGAAAGTAAATGGACTGGCTTAATCAGACCCAACCATGATAATTGAACAGCCTTACTGATCTGTGAAAGAACTAATAAAAGCAATGGGCTTTTAATGTTCTTTTGATGCACTGTGTGAAGAGGAAATCATCAGCAGAGATAGAGAAATCAGAGCCTCCTCTATGTGGTTCCTTACAGAGCATTTTATTGAGTCATCCGCTTCCATTTCTATTTTTCTGGTTAAAGTCGACCTCTCCTGTAATCACTCCCAAGAGGCAGCTGTCATCTGGAACTTAGGACTCAAGATGCCAGGGATGCAGGGTTGGCTCTCTGCTGAGCCTCCAAAGGAGTGGAAAAACTGTGTGACCACATCAACCTCCTGGCGCAAGTGCGAAGGACGCTGGTGGTCACTCATTAACAGGGCCTGTGCCTCTTCCCAGGGAGGTGGGAGGGGGGCCTGCTCCAAACTCTTCCCCACTCCATCAACTGATTTCTGTGGAGTCATTAAGGCAGCAGTAGTAATGCTGGTGTTACAGTCAGTGTCACAGCCATACCAATGACACCTCCCCAGCCAAAGGTAATGCTTTTCTAAGTGCTAGGAGTTAGGGGCTGATCCTGCTTCAGAGTTGAAGGAATTCTCATCTAAATGCAAATCAAGGCAAGTCTTCCAGGATGCATGAGTAGCTACAACAATTTTTCCACCATTTAATGCTCAGCCCCGCAAATGCATTTGCACACACCGTATTGCTGAAGAAATAGCCCTTATAGGAATTTAACTGTGTTTTTCTTCCCCGCAGTTACACAGGTGAATGATATGCCAAGTTTTGATTTCTTTGACTTAATACATGGTGAGTAAAATGGACAGAGAGGATTCTTTTCCCAACCTCTGCTTCTCTGCTCCCAACTTACATAGCCAGGTCCCTGTTACCTCTATTTGATGTCCAAAAGACATCTTAAAAAAAAAAAAAAAAAAAGTCCCAATGGAACTTGCTTTCCAACTCAGATCTTCCCCTTCATGTATTTTCCTGGTGAATTTGATGACGCTGTCACTTACCCTTTCATGCCTAGGAAACGAGACTCCCTAGAGCCCTCCTTCTATGTGCCATATCCCTGGGGGGCCCAAGCACAGCCTGTTTTATGTCATCCACACTTTTATAATTAATCCCTTCCTCTAGGTCTCCATTCCTGAGACCTAAATTCCAGCCTGTGCCATCTCTCCCTGGCTTGCAGCAGGATTTTCTTGCTGGTTTCTCACTCAGCCTGCCCCCCTCAGCTCCAGTCGCTAGGCTGGAGGATTCCATCTATTAGATGCAGTCTGACCAACTGACTAGTATCTGTCAGCTTTCCATTTCTATCACAAAATGAGACACTCAATGGCTAAAGTGAAAAGGTTTATTTTAGCTCAGGGTTTTGGGTCCCAGTGCATGATTGGTTGTCCTCATTGCTCTAAGCCTGTGGCAACAGAAAGTAAGAGGACTGGGTTGCAGTCAGCTCTTTCCATCAAGGGCTCAGGCTCAATAGCCTAAAGATCCTCCCTGGGCTCCACCTCAGAGAGGTTCCATCCCCTTCCAATAGTGCCATCCTGGGGCCAAGCCTTCCACACACGGCCTTGGCGGGACATTCCACACCCAGACTACAGCACTTCCCAGAGAACCATGTGGAGTAGATAATGACAAGATTGTGGTGCTCATCTATGCCACCTCCTGCAGCTCTGCTGTCTTTCCTCATGCTGGGATGAAGGGAAGGATGAGTTCTTCTTATCCCTGTCAGCCTTATGCTACCCTCAGTGTCTTCCGCCTGGTCCTAAAGTAGCAGGATCCCTGTATAACCCTCCCTGGGAGGACAGTCACACTCTTCAGGTCCTAACTCCTGGACCTCCCGCTGGTTTGCCAGCCCAATGGCCATCTGGTTGCTGGTGGCCTCTGTGGCGGTGTCGCTGAACTCTCCTTTGGACCCTGCTATGTGTCATTAGTGGAACATAGCCCCTCTGCTTGGCTCTTGTCCCTCTGGAGAAAAGTCTCACTCTCCGCTCTCACTGGACATTGTGACAATGAACCAGATAGCAGTGACAAGGAAGCCTTGGCATGAGATGGGATTGGCAAACTCCTTCTGAAGAAAGGCCAGCAGGAAATTTCTAGGCTTTGCGGTCTGTATGGTGTTGCAGACACGCAGCCTGGACAGAAGAGGCACTGATGAGCGTGGCCATGTGACAAGCCTTAATTATAAAACAAGGTGATGGCCAGCTGTGGCCCACAGGATTTAAGGAGCCAAGTCCTATTTAGGCTTGTGAGCCTAGAGGCAGAGGCAGCCTGGGATGGAGAGGCTGAGAATGCAGGACTTTTCTAGAGGTAGCATCAAGCCATGCTAAGAATGTAGAATCTGCACTTGGGAGGCTAAGGCAGGAAGATCACCTTACATTCAAGTCCAGTCTGGGCTACATAGTGAGTTCAAGTCCGACCTGCACTATATAGCGAGACCCTGTCTCAAAACACGCACACACACACACACACACACACACACACACACAAAACAAACAAGAATGGGGATTCTGGAGTCTGGCTGGCCCAGTTCCAACCCTGGCTTTAGTATTTGCTAGTGTTATGGTTTATTTCTGGATGTCTCCCAGGTAGGGCTTTTGGAAGGTGACTGGATTAAGGGGGCTTATCACTGACTTCCTGTTGGGAGATGAGGTCTGATGGGAAGAGGGGTCACTGAGGGCATGGCCTGGAGGGTGCAACTCCCTCCCTGGCTCCTCCTTTCACACTCTGCTTCCTGTCTACCATGCTGTAAGCAGCTCTCCTCCACCAGGCCCCTCTGCCATGCTGTTCCATCTTGGATCTGGTTGACTATGGACTGAAACATGAGCCAAAAAACACCTTTCCTTTTTGGTGTAGGCATCTGGTATCGTGTCCCAGTAAAGTGACTCAGACAGCTAATATCAAGCCTTTGGGTGAACAGTGTTACATAATGATCTACACGGTCCTTACCACAGGCCTGCGTTCCCATTTGGCAGAGACACAGGAGAATGGGACCAAAGGAACAGGAGCTCTGGTGGCCTCCCCATCGGTTCATTAATATGCTCCAGTCCTTATTGTCCTTCAGAGAAAGTGACTTCTTGGCCTCCTCCAGCCCCAGTCTCCAGGCCCGTCTCCTCTTCCAACCTGACTTCATGATGAAGCTGTCCACACGTTCTGTCCAGACTCCAACATCGCACAGTCACTCTACCACCTGACTTCTGCCCCTGGCTTGGAGAAAGGGGTGGCAGCTGATCAGGGTGGGCAACAAGAAATCCATATGTGACATGGTCTGCTGTCACTTAGATGTCGAGTACACTGCCAGCCAAGGTCGGGAGAAAGGTGATTGTGGTTTTGTCCCCGTCTGGAGGCACAATTTGCGGGTGGCTGTGCTGAGCTCCAGGGAACACCCTGACTCTGGGTGACACCAGGGCTTTGGCCATGGCTGCTCCCAGGGAAAGGTGAGGCTGCTGCCCTAGGGTGGAAAATTCAAGAAGAATCCAGAATGCCTGATGGCAAATGGGCTCTAAAAACAAAGATAGCAAAATGGCATCTTCCATAGTTTTGGAAATTCCTTTAAAAAAAAAAAACAAAAACAAAACCTCTGTTAGACTGTGTTCAGTACATGGCCACAGGCTCTGTGACTCTTTGGAAGCACATGTCTCATCTGAGAGTTTGGTGCCCAGCGATGAAGAGGCAGGATGCTCCCTCCACTGCTTTTAGTTCCAGGACTCTGCTTCTACAGGAATTCCCTCTTATTTTTATTTTGCAGACTGGGAATTGAACCCATGGCTTTGTACATGCTCAGTAAGCCCTGTACCTCAGAGCTACACCCTCACCCCTTTTAATTGTGAGATAGGATCTCTCTAAATTGCCTGGGCTGGCCTTGAACTGCAATCCTCCTGCTTCAGCCTCCTGAGTCCCTGGAATTACAGGTCTGTGTCACCACACCCACTTTATAACTTCCTCCTGCTGGGAAGACTCTTGGGGGGCAGGAATTATCTCAGTCATCTTTGAGTGCTCAGTGCCTAGGATAGTGCCCCACAAATAACAGGGTCTTAGAAAGTAAACACTGAATAAATGGTTTCCCACATGTGTCCCTGGACAGATGACAGAGGCAGAATACACAGTAGATTTAAAAGATCCATGTCCTCCCCTTCAAGCTGAGCTGCGCCAAGAAGAAAAATTAATAAAGAATCTCAAAGCCCCTGGCCACTGCTCAGAAGGATGGGCCAAACGCACAGGTCTTCTACTTGGGCTCGGCCTTCTCTCTGCCCTTTGACTTGAGATTCCAGCAGCACAGCAACGCTGGAAGAGGGCCCTGTAGCCCTTTGCAAACAGTGGGGACAATAGGCATCCTCTGCCCTTATCTTTTTTTTCTTTTTTTGGTTTTTTTGAGACAGGGTCTCACTATGTAGTCGAGACTCTGCCCATATCATCACAGGTAGTACCTCCTCCAAGCTACAGCGCCGTGACAACCAGTCCATGGTGACTCAGTTCTCTCTGAAGCTATGAATCCTTGACCTAATGTGAATTTTTTTCACAGACTTCTTATAAAATATATAATCTGTTGTAAGTAATAACAATGGAGCTATTTGCCATTTCCAGGCAGAGAGCTTTTTTTTTTCCAGAGAGCTTTAATATCAAGTCCTTATTAGGGTGGAATTTGATATTGAACATGGGAGACAAGAATATAAAAACAAAGTAGTATACATAAAATCTTCAACTGCTTAATGTCAACTAATTTGAAGTATTGATAGACTTTTTAAATGCTTTTCTTTTTAAAATTAAAAAAGTTTTGACATATATTTGTACTACAAGTATATGGGATGCTAATTTGATACAGGTATATAATATAATAAATAAGGGCAATTAATATTTAACTTTTTTTGAGACAAGGTCTTGTTATATAGTTCAGGCTGGCCTTGAACTCACTATGTAACCCAGGCTGGCCTCAGTCTCATAGTGATCCTCCTGCCTCAGCCTCCCAAGTGCTAGGATTACAGGTATGCATCACTACATGCAGCATCTGCTCAAATATTTCAAAGTATTTTTTTTTTAATCTTATAAAGAAGGTAATTATTCCAGTAACAACTGAGAGACTGGCTAGTGGTCTCTCCCCAAGTACTCACACTTGGAAAACAATAGCTCTTGCAGATTGATTTGGTGGCAAAATAATGTGTTTTTAAAAAGAGCACAAGGGCCAGGGATATAGCTCAGTGGCGCTGTGCCTGTCTTGTAAGTCCAAGGTCCTGAGTTTGATCCTTGGTAACATAAAATTTAAAAATACAAATAATGCAAGCTTCTGAGTTTATTGTCTGTTGCTCAGTACATTGAATTATGCAGTATTACCTCCACACACACATACACACACACACACACACGCACACACACACGTATTAGTTATCTGCTTCTACATAACTAATCACCCCCAAACAGTGGTTTAGGTGGGTGTGGTGGTACCCACCTATAATCCCAGCACTCAGGGAGGCTGAGGCATGAGGATCACCAGTTCAAACCCAACCTGAGCAACTTGGTGGCTTTGTGAGACCCTGTCTCAAAAAAAAAAAAAAAAAAAAAAAAAGATGATGATGATGGATGGGGATAGCGGCTGGGGATAGTGTGAAGGCCTTGTGATTAAAAAAAAACAAACCAAACAAACCCCCAAATAAAACAAAGCAATGGCAACAACAAACTCAGTGTTTTAAGACAACAAGCGTTTATCATGTCCTGGATTGAACTGTGTTTCTTCCAAATTCATATGTTGAAAGCTTAACCCCAAGGGGATTGTGTTTGGAGACAGGGCCTGTAATGTGGTTCTCACAGTAAGTAAGGTCAGAGGGTGACCCCCATCCACAGTACTGGTGTCCTTATAAGAAGGAAGAGAAACACCAAAAATGTGTGCACACCAAGGAAAGGACACAACCAACAGCTCTGCGTTGTTACAATGAAATGCCTGGCACAGATGACTCACAAAGCACAGGAAGGCTTATTTTGTGCTTGGTTCTGGAGGTCCAGTCCAAGACTGGAGCAGATTCTGGCTGGGGTCCAACAGCTCTGCGTTGTTACAATGAAATGCCTGGCACAGATGACTCACAAAGCACAGGAAGGCTTATTTTGTGCTTGGTTCTGGAGGTCCAGTCCAAGACTGGAGCAGATTCACTGGCTGGGGCCTCTGATGGGTGTGGCACCTCGTGATAGGAGGTCCTAGCCAGACCTGACATCTGAAGCCAGGAAGCAGAGAGGAAGGACCAGGGTCTCAGAGTCCCTTTCAAGGGCATGTGCCTAGGGCCTAAGGACCAGCCCAGGGACTAAAGACCATCCTGGCCCACCTTTTCAATGTCCCCAGAACCTCCAAATACTTTCACACTGAGGACGGAGTCTTTGCACTCACCACTATTCTATAGACCGCCAGCCACCTCCTAAGGAAATCCCTTCCAAGATCAGAATGTGATGTTTTCTTTTCCCTGCTCACTTTAATTGCTTCCTTCTGCTCTTGAGTGTTTACATCTACTCCCATTGACAGGAAGACCCTGCTATCTCCAATCTTCTAACCAATCCCCTGCCTCCCTTTCGTATTAAGACTCTTGAAAGTATTCACAGGAGAGATTGTCATTTCTTTACCCTTTAGTCATTCAGCCCACATTTTATGGCTTCTGCTCTTGGCCATGAGTGATCAAGAACATACTTTTGTCAAGGTCACAGTGACTTCAGTCCTCGTGTTCCAAGACCAGGCTGCCTTCAAATGCATACGGGGCAACGACAGACATTCCTCTTGCTTCTGTCATACTGTGCTTTCCTGTTTTTCAGTCTGTTTTCATGCAATTCCTTGTACTTTTCTTGGTTTACTCCTTAGGTGGCCATATTTTTCTGGCTCATCTGCCTTTATTTCTCCTATGTGGTGGCATTCACGATCATTTCTATGCAGATGATTTTTCAGATCTTCATTTCCAGCTCCAGAGCACACATCCAGTCTCCCTTTGGACACCTCCATCTGATTGTGCACACCATGGGCACCTCATTATACCCTACCACCCGGGCACACCAGCCACTCACACATTCAGGTGCTCACTACACACTCCACTCTTCTCCTCTCCGCTCTGTCCCAGCAAATGGACCCAGCATGCGTCTAGTTGCCCAATGTGCACCTTCGGGAATCATCCCTGAGTTGTCTCTTTCCCTGTGAATTAGCAAACACTATGCCCCAAACTCCCGTCCATTCTTCTTCCATACTGCATCTCATCTGGGCCCCTGGTCTCCCGACGTCCAATCTAATTTCCCCACTCAGCCAGAGGGAATCAACCTCAAGTACAGAGCTGATGATCGGTCTTCCCAGCCTGTACAAATTCCACTTCCTTTCCCCCTCACCCAGACAGAATGGGTGCCTCTTCCCATAGTACCCAAATGGGTGCTGGCATACAGCAGTTCATCTGCCTGTCCCCCAAGTGGACAAAAGCTCCTTTCTGTGTTCCATCCTGTGTGTCAGGCCCAGCACTGTCAATCAAGTGATGAATAAAGCAAACTCTGTCCCTATCCCTTTGTTGTCACCCCTGCCAGCACTGTTCCTGGCACACAGCAGGTGTTTTATGAGTATTTGATGAACAAATAAATGATTATGTGAGCGCTGTCTGCTATACAGTGATTCACCCCTCATCCCCTTTCCAATTTTAGAATAAAACACATGGGAACTGGTTTTAGAGGGGCGATCTTCACGGTCAATGTTTACCACAGCATCTTTACATAAAAAGGCAGAGATATGTTACATGAAAATCTTGTTAGGCCTTTGGAAATCTTTAGGCAACCCACATCTCTCCATGAAGATTATGCTGGTAGCAAAACGTATAAAATCAGTGAGGCTTCTAAGGAACTGAGCACATAAAGACATCTAACAAAATACAATTATTATTATTGCTGCTGTTGTTGTTGGGATCAAACCCAGGGCCTGCACATGCTAGGCCTGCACTCCACCACTGAGCCATATACCCGCCTCCAAGTTCAATTCCAAAGGGACAAACTGTGCAAGGACGTGAAGCCACTCCCCAACTGCTGGAAGCAGAGACACCGGCTGGAGAGGTGGCCCCTGGAAGACTTGGGTGACAACATTGCCTGGTGGGATCCAGGGCTTATTTAAGGCCAGGTGTCCAGTGGGGACATCTTCTTCCAATTCTTAAAACATTATTTCAAAATGTAAGTGGGGAGCTGTGGGTGAGCACCCTGATTCTCTGAGTCTCAAAGTCCATGAACATCATCTTCTTTTATTGTGGTAAAACACAGCATAACATTAAGCACTAAGTCACTTTGAAGTTTATAGCTCAGTGGCATTTACTGCACACACACTGTCGTGAAGTTGTCACATCATCCATCTCCACAGCTTTTTCATCTTCCCAAACAGACCCCATTAAATGACTTCCTCTTTCCCCCTCTCCAGCTCCTGGGGTCTCCCTCTACTTCCTGTCTCTATGAATGTGATCACTGTAGGGACCTCCCTGAGGCAGAATCATCCAGTGTGTGTCCTTCTGTCCCTGGCTTCTGTGACTCAGCACAGTGTCTATAGTTCATTCAGGCTGTAGCGTGTGTCTGAATTTCCTTCCTTTCATGACTGAGTCATCTTCCATTGTGCACCCACTGCCTCTTGTTTAGCTGGTCGTGGGCTATCCCTCTGCTGTCACACACTGTCAGCTGTGTGTTGGCACAGAACATATCTCCAGGTCAACAGCCGAGAAAGCAATATGGCAAAGGACACATGCTGCGTGACCCAGGACTACATTAGCAAGCCTGGAAGGTCCTGTGCTTTTGGCCTTGATCAAGGGCCTCAGTCGGGTGAACCATACGTGGTGAAGAGTGTCACCTGTGGTCTCACTCAGGGGGAAGATGGGCAGCTGGCTGGTGGCACTCTGTGGGCTCCTCTAGTTAAACTGAGAATGGCTTTGGGCTGGTCCCCAGCACAAAGCTTCTTCGGGAAACATCACAGAATCATGGAACGTTGACTCTATGTCTGGTCTCCTCCACTTCCAGTGACCTACAGCCAAAATGCTTTTCTCTTCCAATCAGTATCTCTACTTTTCTTTTCTTTTTTCCAGTACTGGGAATCAAATTCAGGACCTTGGGCTTGCCAGGCAGGCTTGGTGCCACTGAGCTACATCCCTGGCCCAGTATCTCTTCTCAAATGAAGTTATTCTATCAATTATCATTAGTCAATGAGAAGCAGTAGTCTTTGGGGACTTTCTACATCTCCCTTCCTTTTTGTTTCCTGGCCTCCCCAGAACTATATCCTGGGCTCACCACTCCCATCTCCCCTTGTCCCGAGTCTGGCTTGAGGCTGGAGACAGGAGGAGGGAGATGCCAAGATCCCGTCTCTCTGCCCAGAAGGCATCACTGGGCAGCACTGTGTCTCCTTGCTGGTGCCACCTCCCACCAGGCAGCCAGGCCAGGGGGAACTCTGGCAACACCAACTCTCACTGCCCTAAGTCCTGGGCAGGTTGCCCAGCATCCCCTTTGGAGTCTTTTTTGGTTCTTCTATCTCCATAACCAGTGCATGCTAAATGCCCAGGAAGACAAAATGGTCCTGAGAATCCCAAAATATAAATACAATAAAGAGCAAAATAAAAGACAGATAATACAAAACAAGGAGACAGATCTTTCACAGATGGGAAAGGGACCAAGAAATGGAGGGAGGAGAGGGAAAGGAGACATAAAAAGAATCAAGACATGGTATTCATATGTACCAACTCCTCATGAGGAATGTGATCATTATGTTCTGCAAGCATGCACTAATAAAAATAAAAATTAAAAAATAAAACATCCAGCCTGACCTCCTCCTAGTTTCCAGCTCTAGGGGCCCAGCCCTGGACACCCCAGGATACTCTGTCTTTCTATCTCAGCCAGACATCTGCCCTCCTCAGAGCCAGCCCTATGCCACTTTTGCACCGTGTAGCCATTACCTTCTCTACTGTGTATATCCCTGGCCCCAAGCCCTGACTCCCTTTCTTTTCTAGAAGCTTCTCCCTTCATTTCCTTCATATTTAAGCCCTTGCAACTACTCCAGGACCAGCTCAGTTGCAACCCTCATTGTTTGCACACCCTTCTCTCACACCCACAGGGGCCCTGTTTGTCTGCCCAGTCGCCCCCAACTCTGCTCCCAGACTTCCTGGGCATGTCCACCTGGCCCTGGGCTCTGGCTGGCAAGGTTGCAAGTTCTGGGAGGTAGAAACAATACCTGCAGCCTGACCCTGGCCATTTAAACAGACGCTTTGCCAAGCCCACCTTGAATCAAACCATCGTTTTGAAGGAACAAGAATAGTCATGCTGCGTTTTCTGCCTGGATAGAGCATCTTTGCCTGGGACCTAACAGTTACGGGTTTGTGTTCCCAAGATGTGCTGGCATTTTAACCCTTGGTCCCTGTGAATGTGACCTTATTTGGAAATAAGGTTATTGCTGATGGAACCAGGTGAAAATAAGGTCAACTGGGTGGTGACCAGCAGACACAGGGGAGACTGCTTGGGGAGATGGAAGTAGGGGCTGGAGAGATGCTACCACAAACAAGAAACGCCAGAGCGTCTGGAAGCTGGGAGAGGCAGGGGTGCCCCCTAGAGCCCTGGAGGGCATGTGATCCCTAAAACCTTGATTTTGACTTCTCATCTCCAAAACCACGAGATAGAAAATTGCTGCTGTCTTAAGGCACCCAGTGTGTGGTGCAGTTGGTTCTCTATGGCTACAGCCTTCCCATCTGCAGATTCCACCAACTGTGGATTCCACCAACTGCAGCTCAGAAGTGTTGGGAAAAAAACTGTTTTCTGTCCCGAACAAGTACTGTTCTTGTCTTTGGCCCCTAAGCAGTATTAACAATGATTTGCACGGCTCGAGGACATCGTACATGGTATTCTAAGTAATCTGGTGATATGTGAAGTATTTGGGAAGACGTATGTAGGCATTGTACAAATACTGCACCATCTTAGAAAACAGAATTGAACATCAGAGGACTTTGGTATCTGCACGGGTCCTCAGACCAATCCCCTGTGGCTGTACAGGGATCCAGAATGAAGATGCATTGTTCCAGCAACCTCCCAGCATGACAGTGGAATGAAACGGTTCCATGGGTGTAGGCAGCATTAGTGACATGGTTCTTATACACTTGCTGGATACAGGAACATATTGTTCCTGCAGCATGTCCCCTGGACTGAAGAGGCTATGATGGGTGGGGTTTCTGAACTTGGGGAACCCTGTATTGGCATGGAGAGCACACAGGAGTGGGGCAAAGCCAGCTTCCTCCATCAATATTCCCTGGTCCTTCTCAGCCAATCCTCTGAAGGCCACAAAAACACCCGTGACCCTGCTCCATCGTGAAAGGCTGCCCTCAGGTGGGGTGGTGGTGCTCACTTGTAATCCTGAACTCTGGAGACTAAGACGGGAGGATCACAGCAAGTTTAAGGCCAGCTTGGGCTACTTAGTGAATTCAAGGCCAGCATGAACTACACAGCAAGGCCCTGTCCCAAACAAAACAAGGCTGTCCTTTTTAAGAATGTACCCCAAGTCACATAATGTTGGATTTACATATTAAAACTGTGTCCTCTTTTCCTTTGCCTGTGACATTTTACTTTTAATGATCAGAGTAAATTCAAATAAAGCTTTCAAAGAATGCTCTTTAAGGAGATTGATAGAGGAGCCTTGTGTAGTGGTGAGTGCCTACAGTCCCAGCACTCAGTCCGGGCTGAGGCAGAAGGATCGCAAGTTCAAGCCCAGCTTTGGCAACTTAGTGATGAAGCAAACCCCCATCTCAAAATGAAAAAAGCTTGGTTTTCAGTTGAGTACGTAGGCACTGGGTTCAATCCCAGTAATGAAAAAGTAAATAAAAAGGAGGAGGAGCAGAAAACTTTCACGGTGGGGCCGATGCTGTGGTGTTTCCTACCATCACCGTCTGCTCCCACACCCTCACCATTCTCCTCAATCTGCGATTTATAACAAAATAAACCACAGCAGCCAGAAGCACACAGACAGACCAATGACAAGGGCCCAGACTTACCGTCCTGGGTGCAGCATGGTGCGTGGGGGAGGCCAGTGGTGGCCGGGCTGGGCTCTGGAAGGCCAGGCAGAAGCGCTGGCCGGTGTCTGGAGGTGAGGAGGCATAGATGCGATTTTCCAGGCGCTCGGGCTCCTGCTTGTAGGACTCGAGGGGAAACGTGTGCTGCTTGGTCACTTGGGTGGGTGTGGATGGGGAAGAGGAGACACTGGAGGCTGTGGGAAACAACAGAGCCTGTTAGAAGTGTGGCCGGGCAGAGGCGGACAGAAGACTCTTTCTCTTCCAAGGGCCCCAATCCTCCAGTGGCAACAGTCGGATCATTCATGCATTCATTCATTTGAGATGGGGGTGCTATGCAGCCCAGGCTGGCTTCAACTTGAAGTGATCCTCCTGCCTCATCCTCCCAGTGTTGGGATTACAAGGTGTGTGGCACCATGCCTGGCATTCAATTCTTTTTTTTTTCATAATTTTAAGAATATTTTATTAGTTTCTGTAACCAAAATTACTAGATAGGGCTTTACATATTTAACATAGTGTGTTGCCCCTGTATGAATGGGAAAAAAAACGGAATTTAAAATCAATCAATCAATTAATTAATTAATTTATTTATTTACTGGTACTGGGGATTGAACTCCAGACCTTGCGCTTGGCTGGCAGGTGGCGGCACCACTGAGCTAAATCCCTTCCCCAAATTTAACATTTCTAGACCAATACAGCTGTTAATTTATGTACAATGACAACTCAACACAATAACTGGAATAACTTTTTCCAAAGTTCACAGCACAGTTAAAGTTTCCAAAAATATATGTATATATATTTATATTTCTACAAAAAGACCAATAAAAGCACTATGTTATGCATCAATAGCAGCAACAGCTTTTCTAGGTTCCAGTTCTGTGGTCATCTGAACAAAATTATAGAGACATCCAGCACACTCCATTAAAGAGAAAGAAAAGAAAAGCCCAACCTTAAGTTCTTTAATAACAGGGAATTTTATAGGCCCACATCTACTCTCTTAGATTTGTGGGGTCAGAGTTTCCTTTGCACCCCATCTGAGTCCTGGGGGGCCCTCTTGTTGGGGTGATGCTCACATGGTCCTGACATAACAGGGTGCAACCCCCCTTGGTTGGCCCCCCTCTCCTGCTACTCTGCCAGATCCATTTGCTACCTACTACCCTTACCAGGCACAAGCCAAGAGCACACCTCACTGTGCCACACTGATTGAGGTTTCGCACAGGAAAATTTGCAGTGTCCTGGAAACGCCAAAGTCAATGCTGTGGACATCACATGACAAGAGACAAGAAGAACCAAGTGGGACAAACTCTGACCACAGAAATGTGTGACAGGAGTAGATGCACTGGTGCTCCAATCCCCGGTATCTCTGAATGTGACCTCGTTTAGGAATAGGGTTTTTGCAGAACAATCAGGTTAAAGTGAGGCTTTGCTGGGTTAGGGTGGCCCTGGAAGCTATAGGCATTCTTCTAGGGAGAAGAGACACATGGAGAGTTTGGGAGGATTTAGTGCATGATTCCTTGGCCCTGTTGCTCTGGGCCAGTGACAGAACCTCATGGCAGGAATGGGTGGCAGAGCAAAACCTATCACTTCATTGCCAGCACATAAAAAGAAAGAGGAAGAGATACCCCCAGGGACCAGACCTCTCCCTAGAACCATCTCTTAAAGGTCCACACCCTCAGTAGTGGCCAAGGTGGGACCAAGCCTCAACATCCAGACTAGTAGGGCCAGGGATGTAGTTCAGCAGCACCATGCCTGCCTGGCAAATGCAATCTCCTAAATTCAATTCCTGGTACCAAAAAAAGAACATCCAGACTAGAGCAGGGGGAATGGGAAAGACGAAATGCTAGAGCTGTCATTAGTTTAGGAGGACAGAGAAAAAACCTTCCTGTTTTTTCTCACTAAAAATATGGTTCTTCACGGATCCCCAAAATGCCTCCAGGAGGGGGTCAGTCCTGCAGCTCCACCACCCAGTGTCTGTAGAGTGCTGTCACACACACTCTGTGGGAGACCCTGGATGCCCACTTACAGATGGAAAGACTGTTGGCAGCAAGAAGGAATCTGAGAAGTCCCTGGGTGCCTAAAGGGGCAGGAGAAGGGATTGGGGGGATGAGGCAGGCTGGAACCTGGCACCTGGGTGTGCTTGGCAGGCAAGATGGGCTTCCTCCATGCCAGCCAGAAGGGTAGAGTCACAGATCAGCAAGCAGGGGCTTTCACACTCTCAGATGCTGTCTTCTTTCTGGGGACACTGTCTTAGGCAGGGCCTCGGGGCAAGTGAGAGTGATGTTCCTAAACTTACCTCTCCTGAATGTTTGTGTCACGGTTGTTAACAGAGTAAATGGGGGATCTGCTGCCCCAGCCTTGACTGCTTCCCCTTTCCTTGTGGGGGAAACAGTCTTCCTCTCACCTGTTGGGACAGCCAGTCTGGTGGCCACTCAGTGGCTTCAGGCTGAGGGCCTAAGCAGCTGTGGCAGGAGGAGTGGGCTAGGACAAATGGGACAAGTCTCATCCTTCTGCTTGGTGGGGAGAAGTGGGACAAGAACAAAACACACAACAAACCAGACACTGCCTCACACCAACCATAGAGCATACAATCCATGTCACATAGAAGCAGTCAGAGCTCAGAGAAAAGGGGCAGAAAGGGGCAGGAAGGGACAGGGTGAAGGGCTCACAGAAGCACCAAAGAGCCCTCTCTTTCTCTGCCTGAAATGTGAACATTTCTGCCCTGTGGCAAAAGTGAATTTCCTGAGGATCCAGACAGGACTGGGCAGTGGCAGCAGCAGCCTTGGAATAGGCCACAGGTGGAGTAATGAGCAGCAGAGACAGAGGCTGTCCGATATTTGATACTAGAGCATAGCATTGCAAAGAGAGGAAGGAAGGAAGTGGGTCCCCAGGAAGGATCTAAGGTGAGAATTGAAGTCCATGGGGAACATAAAGAGAGAGACTTCAATAAAGAGGAGGGAGGTGGAAAGCAGCTCTCTCCTAGCACCCAGACTCATGGTGTGGGAAGGGCAAGACAAACCTGCAGATTCACAGCGACTACTGGCAGCTCCAGAGGCCTCCTGAGAAAGGCACCAGTGGAATGGAGCAGATAATGCATTGACCTGCAGCAGTTGTTGAGTCATCTGGGCTCAGATGTCACCAAGGAGAGGATGATTGGCCAGTAGCCATCTTGGAGAGGGGCCAACTGAGCTCTGAACTCAGAACAGTTAGGGATGATTCCACCTAGTGGCTCCTGGTGTCTCAGTGTGGGTGCCAAATTCAAGTCAGGACTATACATGGACTGTTGTAGGCTCAAGGAATCTGGTTCCAGCCTCATAGGAATAAATCAGCTTGAACTTCAGTGGAACTAAAGGGGCAGGCCAGCTGAGATTATCCACTAACCCAATGTGAAGCTGCTGGATTGCTGGAATTAATCAATTCAACTCTGGACTCTGCCTGTGTTGTCTATCAGTGATAAGAGACACATATTGCATTGGACCTTCCTTCCTCCTCTCTCTCTCTCTCTCTCTCTCTCATACTACTGGGGACTGAATTCAGGACCTTGTACTTGTGAGGCAGGAGGCGAAACCACTGAGCTAAATCCTCAGCCTGCTTTCTTTCTTTCTTTCTTCTTTCTTTTTCCTCTCATTTCTTTCCCTCCTTTATGGTTCTTGTTTTGCTTTTTCTTGATTGTTTGAACATGGTTTCTAGTTTTTTTTGTTGTTGTTATTCTGTTCTTGTTTTTATTCCTTCCTTTTCTTTCTCCCTTGTCTTCTTCACCTATTTCCTAAGGTTTGTCCTTCAGCCTTGCTTCTGATCTCTTATTTCTCCTCCTCTTCTTCTTTCTTCTCCTTCTTCCTCTCCTCCTCCATCCTCTTCCTCTCCTCTTCCTCCTTCTTCTTCTTTTTCTTTTACCCCTCCTCCTCCTTCCCTTTCATCTTCTTTTTCTCTGTTTGCCCCCAACCCCTTTTAAATCTTCTCCACTAAGGGTAAAATCATCATATAAGGGCTTATTTATTGCACACAATTTTTTGGATTTGTTATAGATTTTGCTATATAACCACAAATCTAGTTCATACAGTTAAAGGTACCAAGTTAATAATCACCACAGTTTATTGTTTTCAGGCTGTATTTGATGCTATTGTTATTTATTTATTTATTTTGGTACTGGGGATCAAACTCAGGTCCTTGTACTTGCGAGGCAGTCACCAGAACCACTGAGCTAAATCCCCAGCCCTTGTTATTGTTGACTGTACTATCTCAGCCAAGGTGACATTAATGTGCTAATCAGTTGTTCCTTCTTGTACATCAAGACTTAGATTGCCAAAGGTTCTTAGAAAAAGCCCCCAAATTATAGACCAGTTCCAAAGAACTGGTGGCTGAGCCAAGTAGTCAGAAATTTCACATCCCCATTAAATTGAACAGGTAGTATCATGCCACAGACTCAAAACCTAAAAGTCAGCTATGCCTGGAAGATGCTTCTGAGAAGTAGTCATTTTCTAAGGGTTCTGAATACTGGCAATAAAGCTGTTCACCATAAGCAATTTACAAACATACCAAGAACTTTAAAACTTTTGAAAAAACAGAAAATGAAAAGACACTTAAACAAGATGCAACCCCCCCGCAACTTTTAGCTCACCAAAGGCAAATCCAGGAGGTAATATGGTGGAACAATTCAAAAGCCACCCACCTGGACTCTCTGAAGTGGTAACAGCAGAAGCAACAAAGCAGATAAATGAGGTTTATTTATTTTTCTTTTTTTCAGTACCAGGGATCAAAATCAAGACCTTGTGCTTGCAAGGCAGGCATGGCACCAGTGAGCAAAATCTCCAGCCCTCAATGAAGTTTTAGAAAATAATCAGAGCTGAAATAATTTCCTAGATAACTACAGCGATGGTGACCAGAATGAAAGAAATGCTTAGTGACTCCAAAGCAGATACAGATAAAAAATATAGAGGAGGGCTGGGGTTTTAGCTCAGTGGTTCCATTACCTGCCTCTCAAGCACAAAGTCCTGAGTTTGATCCATGGTACCAAAAACAAACAAACAAAAGAAAACAAAAACAAAAATATAGAGGCACCCAGGAACATGATGGAAACCATGAATCTCCAGCACAGGAAATGGAACCCATCAGGCAGATTCAAACAGATATCCAGGAGATTAAAAATTCCATTGAAAGCATATGCAGCAGAACAAACCAATGTGAGGACAGAATACAAGAT